AAGGAGCCATTGTATTCATTTTGCCCCCACCATCAGCAACCAGATGGTTTGCATCCTCACGGACAATATGACAATGTTTTATATAAACAGACAAGGAAGCATGTGCTCTCAATCTCTATGTGCGAAGGCAATCCATCTATGCAACTGGTGCATTTGGCATTGAGTCACTCTAACGGCATACCTACCTGGAACAAACAATACTATGGCAATTGAGTCGCAATTTGTCCACCGACCACGAATGGGAACTTCATCCCTGGGTCCTTACCTCAATTTTCCAATGATGGGGTTATCCATCGATAGGTCCATTTGCATCACATCTCAATGCCAAATGCCCTCAGTTCTGCTCCCATGGGGGCCTGGGCAAGGGATCATTACAGGATGCCTTCCTGATACCAAAGAATGCCTCACTTTACTATCCTTTCTCCCTGATCCCTCTTATCCCGAGGGCTCTCCACAAGATACATTTGGACATTGAGTCATTTTAATAGCTTCTTCATGGTCCAGACAGATGTGGTGTCCTTGCCTTCAGCGTATGCCCATCCTCCCTCCATACCCCCTTCCACACTGACACAACCTCCTCTCTTGAGATCACCGAGCAGTGCTGCACTCCCCAGCTTCACAGTCTTCACCTAAGCACCTGGCCTCTGTCTGGTTCCACAAGTTGGAAACTTGCTGCTTCAAACAGGTGAAGCACATCCTCCTTCATAGTAGGAAGCTTTCTACTCAGACAACTTACTTGCACAATGGAAGCTTTTTCCTCTTGTTGTGAGCAGAGGCAGATCATCCCTCAGACTTCTCCGATTCATAACCTCCTTGACTTTATTTTAGAACTCAAAATGGGAGGGTTGTCCATCTCATTTGTGAGGGTCCACCTGGTGGCGATAACAGCCTTTCATGAGCTGTTAGATGGAGTTTCTGTCTTCACACACCCAATCACCAGGAGGTTCCTTAGGGTCTCCAAAACCTCTGTCTCCCTCACAGGGGCCCAGAGCCCTCATGGGACTTGAATCTAGTCTTGGACTGGCTGATGAGGCCACCCTTTGAGCCAATGACAATTTGCTCCCTCCCCTTCTTCCTGATAAAAGTGTCATTTCTGGATGCCATCCCCTCTGCCAGGAGAGTTGGAGAGATGGGAGCCCTGATGGTAGACCCACCTTATACAGTTTGCATAAAAGACAGTCACTCTGCAACCTTATCCTATGTTTTTACCGAAAATATGCACTTCATTCCACATCAATGAACCCATTGTGCTACCTGCCTTTACCCAAAGCCTCATGCATCTCCTCAAGACGTCATGCTCCATACTTTAGCTGTCCAACATGCCCTTGCCTTCTACATAGACAACACACGGTTTTTTTGTAGATTCCAGCACCTGTTCGTGTCCTTCGCAAACCATTCCAAGGGTACACCAATTTCTGCACAGAGCATCTCTAAATGGTTATCATCTTGTATTCCTGAGTGCTATTTCCTCCGTAATAAATCTTATCCATTCTGCCAAGAGCACATTCCACCTGTGTTACTGTGACTTCCAAAGCATTCCTGAGTAATGTTGCACTCAGGGACATCTACTGGGCAGCTACCTGGTCATCTGAACATACCTATGCCAGACATTATGCCATAATTGTCATCAGATACAGCTGTGGCTACAAAAGGTCCTATCCTTGACTCTGAATCCCACCATCCAGATTGATCACTGCTTTGTACTCGCCAACAGTGGAGCACCCCTGGGGACAACACTAGAAGAAAAAGAAGTTACTCACTCTGTGCAGTAACAACTTTTCTTCAAGATGTATGCCCCTGTGGGTGCTCCACGACCTTCCCTCCTCCCCTCTACTCGGAGTCTTAGCTACTTGGGCATAGATGAGGAACTGATGGAAGGCCAGGATGTACGTATGAGGCGCTAAATTGTGAACCCCATGAGGCACCTTTTGCGTGACCCAACTGACAACTGCTTTGAAAAGCTCCAATCTGTGGCTATGGGACAACTTGTCACCTACAACAGAGCACCCATGGGAACACACATCCTCAAAGAGCAGTCGTTACTGCATGAGATGAGTAACTTTTTGGTTTTGGCTTCGTCACTGACATACTGTGTGAAGTCTATGTAGACAAACTCTTAGGCACTTAACTACATTGTGCTCTGTTTTCCCATCAGCAAATCGGGAATATCTACCTATTTCACAGGAATCTTGTAAAGCTTTGTTAAGTGCTTTTAGATTCTCTGATGAAAGTACAAAGTAATATACTGCTATTAGATTATGGTGAAATTTAAATTTTATAACTGAATGGGAAATGTGTTTTTGTAGTCAATAGCTCTATTTTTAAACACAATTATTACTTTGTCAGCAAAAATTATGTTAATGTTTCAATTTATTATTAAATTATTCAATTTATTTATTTAAAATTATTCAATAAGCCTCTCTATGTTGGATAAAGAAAGTTTTATGCTCTTCTGCTAAACAGGAAAAAGTGCAATTTAACCAACAAACCTGTATTTTATGGGGACTGCCTTTTTCACCATTAATGTTACCAGCCAATACAAAAAGAGATGATAGAAATAAAAAATGCAATGTTATGTTCGGTTATATAACCAGGTAAAACAAATTTTCAAATTGCTAGGTGATGGACAAAACACTGTGTCATCTTGGTTGATCTGGTACAAATAAGTAAGTCGGAACTGGTACATATTGTAGGGGAAACTCTAGCCAAATATTTCTCCAGAGCTCAGTTTTATTCTCCTACACCTCACTTCCCTCAGTCCTTTATTCTCAAGCTGAGGTGTCTGCTGAGAAAAGCCGCTCCGCGTCTCCCTGGTCTGCTGGGGCGGCGCTAGCTTCGCGTCTCCCTGGTCTGCTGGGGGGAAGCAGCTAGTGTGGGGTTGCCTCACCCCGTTTGTAAGTAGGGATCCGATGTAAGTCGGATCCATGTAACCCGGGGACTGCCTGTATATGAATCTCAGACCCAATGAAGACCTCCTCCACCATTTAATCAGGTAATTCACACATAATGGCAGCTAACAAAGTTGACCTGCTGCCCGTACATATCCTTTCTGTAGTCTCTGAAAGCACAGATAGGGAATTAAGGCTGTTTAGGGCAATGTCTTTTTTACAATGTGTTTTGTATCTCATGCTACTGCCCTGAGGAGGACACAGGTTGAGTAGAGTGGCTTACTCCAGTACCCTGACCTTTCCAAGAGATTTGTAAAGGTCTTGTATAGCAACTACAGAAAGTCAAAACAAAAATCCCTCTAAGGTTAGGAGATGCTATTCTATAGTTGCCTTTCTCCATTTATT